CCCCGGCCCCAGCTCCTCCACCCGCTGGAAGTGGACAGCCTGGCCACTCACACCCTCTCTATCCGGCACCAGGACACCCTCCGTTCTCTCTCCATCCTCCGCGACCTTCGTCGCGCCCACCCCGGGATGCCTTTTCCTGCCCACGTAGCCGAGGCAGCGAGCGCGGCCGTGCAGGAACTGGTCAACCGGGGCCCGTGGGAAAGAGAACGCCGGCAGAAGGCGACTGAGGACAGGGATAGGACGCAGGGGAGAACGCTGGGGGAAAGTGGGCCCGTGTCGTCGTTTCTGCAGGCTTTGGCCCGTGTGAACACGGCCTGGGCCGCGGCGCAACGTGCGCTGGAGGATGCGGCGCTCTTGCCCCCTCCTTATTACCCACCCGAGCATTACGCAGCGATTTTCCTTCCTCTCCTTCTTCCCATCTTTCTACCTCTTCTTCTGGGGCTGTGGCACGAATGGAGGCGCTACAAGGAGAAGAAGAAGAAGAAGAAGCGAAAGTCCGCGTGAGTGCGTGGCGCTCATCCCTGTGCCATACTCGAGGTCGGGTCGCAACCGTGTGACAACCCCTTTCCAAGGAAGTGACTGCGGATCAAGGAACATGTGTGCCACACTAGTTTCTCTCATTAGGACTGGAGCGCACTCATTATCAAACTTGGAAAATAGCATTCTTAACCACCTTGTTTTGTGCAATAAACCACTTTTTTTTTCTTCCTTTCTGGTTTCCTGGCGATCTGCACGCCTCCCTTCTCAGTCCTGTCGCCCTTTATCTACATTAAATACAAACTTCCCGCAAAGACAATGTCCCGACGAACCCTCTCGCTGGCTTCTTCCATTTTCCGATACAACGCCGGGTCTCCCATCAGGCGGGCCGCATTCCGTACCTCGCGGCACAACTCGTCCAGGCGCGTGATACACCGGACAATGGAACCTTCTTGGATCTCGGTCGTGGCCATGATCTCCCGAAACGAGACGCCACTCGCCCACGCGTACACCACCCCGACGGCAATCAAGTTCACATGCTGGGCGGCGTAGGACTCCGGGTCGGAGGGCAGGCTGAAACGCCGTTGAACGTTCCCCAAATTCCTGGCAATTTCCAACAGCTCTCTGCAAGCGTGTCGCAGAGCGGGTGGGATGGTCGCGGCTTCTTCTGTGGCTGGGTCTAAGATCCCTCCTTGTGCCTCGTGTCCTTCCCCGTTTCCGGATGCCCGCCCCCCCTTCTCCTGGCAAACCAGGACGGAGAGGAGGCCGGCGATCTCGGCGGGCGTCAGGGGCGCCAAGACGTTTTCAAAGACTGTCTCGGTCAAGAGCAATTCGTCGCACGTGTTCACTTCGCACGCCACCCTGCCTTTCAACTGTACCGCCTGCGTGGTGGGATCAATGTACCCCAAGGCACTCAGGACCCGCAGGCGGTCCTGGAACTCAGGGAAGAGGGACAGGGACTCGTTGGATAGAAGGTGTCGCATGGATTCGACTTTGGCTTCCACACGACGGCGGCGGTGCACGTGGGCGTATTGTGCCGGCAGGATGGGGCATGTGTGGCACTTGGATGCAAAAAGGGCTTCCTGCTCGGGTTGAAGGCGGGAATATGCCTCAATAAAGGAAAGATCGTTGATTTTCAGCTCCTTGGGGAAATTGAGAGGCGCGAGAGGGAGGACGGCGGGGGGCGAGGAAGGGCTAAGGGACTGGGTATGCGCCTCTGCTTCTTCGCATGCCACCAAATCCTTCACCAAGTCGGCGATAACAGAGGGGGTAGAGACGGAGAAGGTGGGCAGGGACGTGGTGGCCAGCTGATGGGTCGGCCGTTGCAGGGCATCGCCGAACGCGAGGATTTTCTCCGAGTCAAACCGGTCTTTTCTCCGGCGCCCGGTGACAAGGATGACATCCTCCAATGAGAGGGTCCGGAGGGCGAAGTGCCGACTCCCTGCCGTCCCATACACCTCACGGTTTTCCTCGTCCGTCATCCCTGGCGCCGTGTGCGGCCTGCCCCCGGTCGTCTGCGGGGCAGGTATCAAGCCCTTGCCCCCAAACGGCGGCACCGGGACCCTTCTGGCCTCCGTCATCTCTGTTCTCTCCCCTTTCTTCCTCCCAGCCCCGGCTTCCTCCTTGTCCACCGACGTGGGAGGGAGGAAACCCTCCGGACACAGAATCA